GTTCCTTAGCTCCGCCACTGGAACTATTAGTTTACATTATTCTTCCTCTATTACTTATAAGTGTTTTGCTTTAATTAAACTGATATTACAATTATAATTTGCAGTTTAGTACCTTAAATTTGCCTTATTGTCTTGATTTATTTACATTATTCTACCTTTATTTCTTAAAGGAGAACTATGTGGTCAATGATTTTCCCCATAGTTCTCCTTACGGTAACGCGAGGACACAAACTAGCGTCCTCCCGTCACCCTAGGCTCAGTATACCGCGAGCTGTAGCTCACGGTATACTGAGACGCGGCAGTATACCGCCAGCAGCTGCTCGCGGTATACTGAGATGCCGCAGCTGAAGCAGATCCCAACAATTGTGCCGGGATCCGCCCAGCTGCGTGACTGACAGCTGGCTCTGCCTATCTAGAGGCAGAGCCAGCTGTACCCGCCCCTCCCCCGTCCGTTCTGCCAGTCAGTGCTGGCGGATCGGAGCGAGGAGGGGGAATCCAGCCCCTCCCCCTGTCACGGCAGAGAGCCGTGACAGGATCGAGAGGTCAGCGAACCCGGTATGTGTTCGCTCACCTCCCGATCTACTAAACCGACCTGTGACAGTCTCATTGTCACAGGTTGGCTAGAACTATGAGGTGAGTGAAAAGCACTTATCTCATAGTTCTCTTTTAAAGATATTTTTTAAAACTAAAAGCATGTGAAAGGGACTCTGATGTGAAAGGTGGGACTGAGGACCCTGATGTGAATAGGGGAGGGAGGACTTTAAAGTGGATGGCAGAAGAGACAAGCAAAGTTTCTTTTGCCAAAAACAAATTCTTCCTCTCTCCTCCTTTGTTTTTTTTTTTTTGTTTCTGTGTACACTGCATAGCACATGCGCCGTGCAGTGCACACACTCAGCACATTCACAACATCTCTAAGATGCCATGAATGGGCCTGGGAATGGTGTAACTCCTGAGTGCATTCACAGGAGTTACATTATCAGTGGCCACTCAATGGCTGCAGAGGATGCTTGGGAATTCAGAAGTGGTGGGGGTGGACATGGCAGTGGCATGGGACAGAGCGGGGGACAGAAGATTGATCTGGCAGTGCTAGAAAAGGGCACACTTGTAAGGTAAGTGCGCCTTAATGTGCAAGCATGCACAGCATATAGCTTTATGCTCACTCAATCACTCGTTAAGATTGTTTTTGTGCTTCTGGGAAATGAGTGAAGGTATACTATACTGTGCACATACATTGAATAAAAAAATATGAGAAGTGGAAAATGAGAAAATTAAGTGCTCTAACTTTAGCCAAGCAAGCCCGAAAAATGGTACATTAGGGAAACATCATTTCAGGTCATGGTAGACGGGTACTGCCACAAAAGTAGCCCATAAACAAATCAGAACCGTGAAGCACAGATGGCACATTATGTTTTCAACCAGACCATCAATTCTGCTGATAAAAAAACATGGCTGTAAAGTAACAACAGAGGGAGTTACAGAGTTGTAGTAAAATGGCAAAGTAGCATTCCAACTGTTTCCCAGACACCCAAAGCAGTGAGCAATGTGTAGGAAACACTAGACAATCTGTGTTTTTTGTGTTCCAGTAACCAGTAAAGATTTGGTAGTTTTAATAAGCATAAAACAAAACTTATAAATATATGTCTGTGTAGCAGGGGCATAACTAGAAATCACAAGGCCCCATATCAAAATTTTGTACGGGGCTCCCAAAACCCCACAGAGCCCACGTAACAACCCTCACATACCAGAGACCTCACACAGCCCACTTGAGAGTGACCCTGCAGAGCCCACCAGAGACCCTGCAGAGCCCACCAGAGACCCTGCAGAGCCCACCTGAGGCCCTGCATAGCCCACCTGAGGCCCTGCATAGCCCACCTGAGACCCTGCACAGACCACCTGAGAGTGACCCTTTAGAGCCCACTAATGATCCTGCACAGCCCACCTAAGACTCTCTAAGGTGGGCTCTGCAGGGTCTCTGGTAGGCTTGTCGATGTCCCTTTCCCTGCACACGCACACGCTCTTCTTACTTGTCAGCTCCGTGCCTCTTGCTGCTGGGCCCCAACCTCCACCACCGGACCAGCGCTGCTGTGCCCCAGCTTCCTGCACTGCCACCGCCTCTGGACTGGCGCTGCTGGGCCCTGGTCTCCTCCACTGCCACCTCCTCTGGACTGGCACTGCTGGGCCCCTGGCCTTCTCTACCTCCGCTGCCGCTGGTTCGGCGCTGCTGGGCTGCCTTTTGTTGGAGTGGGTCTAGTCTAAATTTTGTGTTTGCAGCTGAGCTGTAACCAGCCTGAGCTTTTTTGTTATCGTTACCTGCGTTTGTTGAGTTTCTCCTAAACCCTGGACATTGCTTCTGTCTGCTCCTCATCTTTTTTTAATCTGCTAAGAAAAATAATTGATCTCACCTGAGCAGTTCACAGTAGTCCTATAGTCCAATAGTGCTTCCAGTCTTTCCTCTTCTTCGCAGTTCCTCTCTTCATCTTCACTAACTCAGTCTCATTTGTTATTTGAACAATCTTAAAAATGGTTGCATTTTCATTCAGTGGCAGGCATAAAAAATGTTGTATTCTGATACAGGCAGTTAATATAATGAAGAAAGCACTGGAAAAATATGGCAGCTATGAGAAATTCGAGCAAGCCACAGGAGGTAGTCTGCTCCCAAAGAGCCGAATATGGCTCCAGGTTCGAAAATACATGGAAAAAGAAGGTTGTCTGGGTGAGGTAAGCGGCTTAATGTATGCAATGCTTGTTACTTCTTCATAATGTACTGTATGTATAACTGCACTGATACATCTTTATGAAGACTCAAAATTAGGTCACCGGTATTAATGAGCAACGGTCAAAAAGTGGTGGCCACCATATTAAGTATTAATAATTATTACTTGAAAATATCTTAAAATATCTTAGTAATTCATAGTATATAATTATTTAAAGTTTGCTTGAATTGAATATTGGAAAGTGACATGTGCATTGTGAATGTCTCTGAGTTCTATGTCAGATTAATGGCAAACCCTGTGACTGGAGTACTCAAAAGTGAATTTGTTCAACCCCTTAGGAAACTTCGATTGAAATAGTGATATATAAAACTAAATTGGCAAAAAGTAACCACATAGAGGGGAATTTATCAAAACTGGAGCAGACGGAATCTGTAGCAGTTGTCCATAGCAACCAATCAGTTTCTATCTTTCATATTCAAAGCTTATCTGAAAAAACTGTCTGTCTGCTCCAGTTTTGATAAATTCCCCCCAGTGTGTTTTGGATTTTCCGTAAAGCATAATAAAGACATAACTAATTTTTAGTTTTGGACATGGTAAGCAAGGTTTGAAATTTCCGTAAGTTTTTTTTTTGCTATATCTGACCCTATGGGGAGACTTCCCTTTTCTTTCTGTCCTGGAAACACAACAGGGAATGAAAGAAAATAATTCCAAAGTGAGGGGTATTCCCTTCTTAGATAATTGTCACCAGAACAGGTTGACCCCTTCGGAATGGTTGAAAGGACACATAGAGGAGTGAATCTTCCTAGCAAAAAAACAGACTGCAATAAAAGCTTGACAAAGGTCCTAACCCTCCTCCACTCTATCCCAAAAAATGCTTTGCCCTGCCATTACATATGCTTTAAAGAAGACACTATAGATTACATGGCTTAAAGCTGATCACCAGACAGACACTATAAAAATAAAAAAGCAACATTTGCTGCAATACTCTATCCCTCCCCCCATGCGAAGGTGCTAGGTGTCATCCTTGACTCGGACCTCACCTTTCTGCTCCACATCCAATCACTATCCAAATACTGCCGCATTCATCTTTGTAACATCTCCAAAATACGCCCCTTCCTCACCGATGAAACCAAAAAGCTGCTCATCCACTCCCTTGTTATCTCTCATCTTAAATTGCAACTTCCTCCTCATTGGCCTACCTCTACACAGACTATACCCCTTCAGTCTATCATGAATACTATCATGAATGCTGCTGCTAGACTCCTAACCAACCGCTCAGTATCTGCAACCCCCCTCTGCCGATCCCTCCACTGGCTTCTAATAGCCCAAAGGATAACATTTGAAATATTATCAACAACTTACAAAGCAATCCACAACCCTGCCCCCGGCTATATCTCAAACCTTGTCTCAAAGTATCACCCTAAAGGTGCCCATGCACCTTACAACCATCGCAAGACTTTTGCCTTGCGATGGTTGTAAGCTAATTAAAAGCTTGTACCTCTTATACAGGCAGATCGTACTTGCGATCATTGAAAGCCCGCCCCGCTAAGGGGCGGGCTTCCGATGACTCCAAAGCCGCACTGGCAGTGTGCGCTTGGTGTATAGGCACCTTAACTGTCCCCTGGGCTCTTCCAAAGACCTCCTGCTCTCTGGCTCCCTCTTTAACTCCTCCCATGCTTGCCTTAAGGACTTCTCTAGAGTCTCTCCCATCCACTGGAACTCCTTACCCCAACCTGTCTGTCGATCTCCTACTCTAACTGCATTTAGCTGATCCCTAAAGACTCTTCAGGGGAGCCTATCCCGCCTCAAACTAACCACTGAACTATCACGTTCTTAAACAATTCATCCCCACACAGCTACCTCCTCATGTATCACTTCTCCCTCCCTTTTAGATTGTAAGTCCTCAAGGGCAGGTCCCTCCTTACCATTTTCTCTTGAATTGTATTGTAATGTCTTATATTGTATTATATTGTAAAACTTCTGGCGCTATTTAAATCCTGTATATTATTAATAATAATAATCACATTCACTCAGTAATATGGACTGGAGGAAGAATTAATGGAATACAAGTGCAGTGACATCACCACATTTGTATTCCATGGAGAACTACAAAACCCTCTGCTGCAGTGGCTGACGGGATTGTAGTTTCTCCATTTACAGATCCTGTCAAAAGATCTGTGAATACAGTAGATGATGTGACTGTGTGGGCAGAGCAACACACAGCCGTGCCATTTTCAAAAAGCATCAGCTTGTGGGGACAGGATTGGAACCCCACAATTCAGGTAAGTGGGGGGTGGGGTGGGAGGGGAGGTGTTTTGATGTGCCCGTGTTTCATGTTAGACCCTGAATATGGGTGTAATATAAAACATGGTCTCAAAGGTAAACTCAGCCTTTAACCCACTTTTTCTAAGCTCAGACTTTAAGCATGAGTGTGCTGTATATGCCGTATATATAATGGTTAGATGCCTGCATTCCATCTAGTGCCCTATTCAACTTTCTTAATAATGGTTTTGTTTCCAGCACTCATCACACACTGAATAATATAATGTGAGATTCAGTAACAACCATGTTTCCAGTTCCTACCATTTGGGGTAATCAAAATCACCAAATTATCCCCACCCCAGGGTGCTTAGTTGCTGTTTTTGAAATTCAATATGAGATTAACATTTTGGCTCCTCCAAGCCTTAAGATAAAGGATTATGAGAAAGTAAACTTTCATGTCAGGAGATAAAGACATTCTTGTTTTCTATGTTCCAGATTGTAGTTCATCTTACAGAAGATTTACTTTCACGAGCTTCTATGACAGTTGTCAATGGGCGTCCAACATTGACTATCAACATTTCTACTGCACGGGAACAGTGGCTTGAAGGGATGCTCAAACATGAAATAGGTATGCTCGTGGTAATTTCTGATGTCCAAGTTATAGAATGACTAAAGCCGCCTACAAAGATTATGTGGTGGCTAGCCATGCATCCGTATCCTGGCTGGCAAACTTGCTAGTTTGCATTGGACCAACCTTAATGTTTATGCCTATAGAGGACAGAACTCTGTGGGCACTAGCCTGTTTCAGGAGGATCAGCTGGGAAAATCCATCCTGTCTGATTAAAATTTACCCTGAGTAGGCTTGCTCAGAAAGAAATGACCAGATCTGTGGAGGTGACAGCCAGATTAGGCACACATTCTACAAAGTTTAAATATAAAAATAAAAAACACCACAGTGCAAGGCTAATATACCAAAAAGATAGAACAAAAGAAAACAAAACCAATCCCTAGCTAAAATATGATTATTTCCACAAAATAGTGTCCTCAATAGAAACCAATCCAAGTGTTTTCATATATAAATGTGATCCAACTCTCCAGGTGAAATGTAATGTTTGTTTCCACTGTGATCCACACACAAGTTTTCAGTGCTTAAAGGAGAACTATGAGGCGAGTGAGTTTATAGTTCTAGCCGACCTGTGACAATGAAACTGTCACAGGTCGGTTCAATAGATCGGGAAGTGAGCGAACACATACCGTCACTCACTCACTTCTCGATCTATCCTGGCAGAGAGCCGTGACTGTCACTCACGGCTCTCTGCAGGGATTCCTCCCCTGTTCGATCCTCCAGCGCTGGCTGGCGGAACGGATGGGGGAGGGGGCGGGTAGCTACGGAGAGCCAGCTGTCAATCCCGCAGCTGGGTGGATCTCGACAGTAAACACTAGGACACAAACGCTAGTTTGTGTCCTCCTGTTACCCTTAGGAGAACTATGGGGAAAAGCCCTGACCCCATAGTTCTCTTTTAAAAAAATACATGTGGTGTTGTTGGTGATATTTCTTTCCTGCGTCCAACACAAGCCTCTCACCTTATTAGTAGAACCCAGGGACTAAACTAAGCTCTTAGAATGCATGGAAGTTGTTTAGGGTGAACATCATGAAGGGTGCAGCCAGGGGCGTAACTAGAAATCACAGGGCCCCATAGCAAAATTTTGTATGGGGCCCTGTGATTTATAGTAACGCCCACCTGATAACCCAAACAGCCCACCTAAGGGTGACCCTGCAGAGCCCACCATAGACTCTCTATGGTGGGCTCTGCAGGGTCTCAGGCGGGCGGTCAAGCCCTCTTACCTGTCAGCCCTGATCCTCTGTCCACCTCCTTCTCCTCCACGATCGACTCCTCCGTCACTGGGCCCCACCTCCTCGATCGCCGGGTCCCGCCCCTTGATCGCCGGGCCCCGCCCCCTCGATCACCGGGCCTTGCCTCCTCGATCACTGCCGATGACGGGCCCAGCCACCTCCTGCAAAGCTGCTGGTTGTCACCAACTCAGCAGCGGCTGTGAGAAGGAACGGAGCGTTCCTCCTCACAGCCACCAGTGACAGCCAGCCTGTCCAAGCAAGATGCCATAGCGGCCCGCATGGCATCAGGGAGGTGTCCTGGCCGGGCCCCGCCGTGCCTCGGGCCCCATAGCGGCCGCCTGGGTCGCTATGGTGATTGTTACGCCACTGGGTGCAGCAATGAGGCACACGGGAGCTAAGTTCTTCTCTGTACCCACTGATTGAATGCTGCAGCCCAATTTTAGGATATTGCATGCACGATTGTTGTGCTCAATAATATGTGAGTGACACTCTTTTATACATTTTTTAATTAAGTGTTTTTATACAGAGAGCACTATGATCCTTTATGTTTTTCTCTTGTGAGCATTCATCCCTGCCATTTACAAAGTGATTGACAGAAAGCTGGGAAGATAGGAAACAAGCATTCTGAGACCTTAGTTACTGAGTATTTCTCTCGATATGTACCAAGATATCCCCTTCAGCTCGCAATACAATCCAAACACTACAACTAACGCGTTTCTGCGACTCTGAGGAAGGGAGTGTGGCCCCCCAGAAATGCATTAGCCAGATAGAGGTCACCCTATCCCATTTTGTTTATTTTGCCTCAGACTTTCGCCCTCTCACACGTGGGCAGCCCATCTATAGTGTGTAGAATTTGGATGAGTATTCGAAGATTCCCATATTGCTGTTTAGGATTTGAAGTAAAATTTTGTTCTGTTTGAAAACATTTAGTCACACACTGACCATTTTACTTTGTAATATGCCCATTTCATTGTTTAGACAACAAGTTGGTTGTCTGAAATAATCCTCATGTGATTAGGCTTTATACTGGAATAGATTTTTATTTTCACTACCAAACCCCATTGCCCAGCACATTCCAGGGTGTTGTCATCTAAGGAATGTGGGAGTTGTCACTGTTTCTATTTTTACTTCCGTGCAATTCTTGTTTTCTAATATTCTTTGGAAGAATATGTCCACTGGGAATTCATGAATTAATTCACTTCTTCTGTCTCTTATTCTGTTTCATACTCCTCATAGCATTTTGTACGAGCTTATTGAATTATATATTGCAAAAAAGGAATGGTTTGCAGTCATCCATTGCAAACTAGCAGGACTTGTTCACACCAATAAGCTGTCATCTACATACACTTAAGATAGTACAGTAAAAATGTTTCTCAATAGTCTTACTAGGTACAAGATACTCTGAAAACAGCTTCAAAGCTGTGCTCCAGGATAAGCAGACACGTCTAAATACAAGAGTCCTGTGTATGGTTACATGTATCTTGGTGTGCTTTGTTTCTTTTTTAATATATCTGTGCAGTAAGCCAGTGTGAAACTTTGCCTCTGTGCAGGAGCTTCCTGTAATAAAGACCAGTCACTGTAGCTCTCTCTGCTTGTACAGGGCGACTGGTCTTGTATCCTCCCCCTTCCTGTAGTTTTCTGCAAGCAGCATCTAATATTTGGGCCTGCTGGCCCCTCCCATGGTTCTGCTATGTACAGCACAGTGATAATGTCACAACTACTTTTTACAAGGCAATGAATGTGTTTGCAAAGGTATTTAGTTCACACAAAGTGGATTTATGTCCGTTGTGGCTGTTGAGGAATAGATTTCAAATATTTTTTTAAGCCCAGAGTTTAGATTTAAAAGAGAACTATGGGGTAAGTGTTTTTCCCCATAGTTCTCTTTAGGGTCACGGGAGGACATATACTAGCTTCCTCCCGTGACCCAAAGCTCAGTATATCGTGAGCTATAGGTCGCGGTATACTGAGACAGCCGCAGCCAGGACAGATCCCGACAATGCTGTCGAGATCCAGCCAGCTGCATGAGTGACAGCTGGTTCTGCCTATATAGAGGCAAAGCCAGCTGTACCTGCCCCCTCCCCGTCCGTTCCTCCAGTCAGCGCTGGAGGATCGGAGCGGGGAGGGGGGAAAAACTGACAGTCACTGCTCTCTGCAGGGAGATGATCGAGAAGTGAGCGAGCAACGGTATGCGTTCGATCACTTCCCGATGTATTGAGCTGACGTGTGACAGTTTTATTGTCACACATCAGCTCGAACCATGAGGATGAGTGATTTTTACTCACCTCATAGTTCTCCTTTAAAGCTCTGGTGATATCTTATGGAATAAAATAAGAGCTGAATTTGCTGCAGCAATGTGCAAGTTCTACACTGCCTGGGACACCCCCATCCCCCCTATTCCACAATGCAATACCTAAGGCCATATGAATCGGACTGAGCATTACTATGTGGGGGCAAATTATTATTATACAGGATTTATATAGTGCCAACAGTTTGCGCAGTGCTTTACAACATATAGGGAGACATTACAATTACAATACAATGCCATACAAAAGGATTAGAAGACCCTGCTTGTGAACGCTTACAATCTACAAGGAAGGGCAAGTGTATGGATATTTGAACAACGACAAATGGTAAGAGGGTGGTACCACTTAACTGAAGTGGAGAAAAGTAAGGTCACTGACCTGGCTATGTGTGTGTGTGTGTTACATATTTGGGTGTGTGGATCCCAAAACTGGGTAAGCAGATGTACAAATTTGGAAGTTAAGACCGTTTATCACTACACAAAATAAACTTCACCTTACACCTTTTAACAGTACAGCCTTTTCTCTCTGCAGTTGAAGTTGGGGGACCAATACTTGTTCTGGAAGTGTAGTTCTGAGTGCAGGGCTTGAGTATGCAGAAAAAACTGAACATACAGCCTGTAGACATTTGTTCATCCCCTGGGTAAGCCAGGCAGTGTGATGTAGAAATTATGTCTAATAGTGATGAGTAGGGCCTGGGGGGTTAAATTAAAAGACCACTTACACTTTAAAAATGGACATGTGCATGCAGTCAGACCAACAAAAATCAGTGTCATGTTATGTCAATCATGTGATTTATTTTTTTTCTGTACAGGGACCCATTATTTTCGAGGGATGAACAATAATCAGCAGCCTTGGAATAACAGCAGCGGTCGTAAGAAGTATGGTTTAAAGCCAGTCAACCCAACAGAAGAAGGTCTTGCAAGTATACACAGTGTCTTATTTCGAAAAGACCCCTTCCTGTGGAGGGCTGCTTTTCTATATTACACTGTGTACCAAGCCAGCCACATGTCCTTTAGTGAATTGTTCCAGGATGTGGGTCAATTTGTCACAGATCCAAACACACGCTGGGATTACTGTGTGCGGGCAAAGAGGGGCTGTACTGACACATCACTACCAGGTAAATGCACAAGTGACATTACATTTGTTAGGGAAACTGGAGTATTTTATTCATTGTAGACACACATGAAAATATTTAGCATAAAGCATAGCCCTATGTCTGCCTTTTACCTTCCACATACCCTGCTCTGTCTGCTGTTTGCCTTCCACATGCTCCTTGTCACCTTGTTTGTCCACTGGAACCCTATAAAATTGGCACTTTCAGGTATAGGGAGGCATGTGACTTTCTTCTCTCTCTTTCACACAATGCATTGTTCAGTGCCTGAGCAGCCATTTTCTAGGCCTGAGGTTGCAGAGAAGGCTTTTAGCCCTGTTTAGGTTCAGGGGGCTTCAGCAGGTAAACAAGGCAGTAGCACAACAAGTGGAAGTTAATTACCTTGAGTTCCCTGTTGACATCATTATTAGGTGGATGATATAGCTCAAACTTTGGCCTGCCAGCTGTGATGAAATTACAAATCCCATCATGCATCTGCCTCTGGGAGTTGTGCTTGTGGCTGTCAAAGTCTTGCATTGCCTAATGGGATTTGTATTTTGGCTACCCCTCAAAGTTTGGCTACCCCCAATATATAATTGTTAGGACTGCTCTGTCTCATGCAATCCACTTTTCCCTATCTGAATTGAAATGATAAAATTGCACATGTTGCAAACATAAATTGGTATCACAGCCAATCCATGCAAATACTTGTGCATCTGGGAGCCCTATTACATTGAAAATGATAGATTAGTGTCTGAATAACTGGTCTATTTTTAATTTTGGAAAATACCTTTATTAATAGACCTTTGCCACTGTCCTTTGACTTAATTGGTTTTAGGTCTTTTTTTTTCATTTTAGGCTGTTTCAATAAGGACCAAGTATATCTTGATGGGATTCTACGGATACTAAGGCACAGAGAAACCATAGATTTCCACCTGTTAACATCCATGGGAAAGGTATACTTCATGCTTTACCTATATTACTAAATCCTATAACAAATACAAATTAAAAATGCACCAATTACCATTAACGTTTGCTTTAAGTATTTATTTAGAATTGAACAATAGACATGTGCACCAGCAAAAAATTTGTTTCGTTTCGATTCAGATTTTGCTTTATTTCGTTTTTCGGAATTCCGGTCTAAAAGTGAATTAGTTAGCGGAAATCCGTACGAAATTTCTTTTCGTTTTCTTTGCGTTTCGTTCCTTCATTGCAGCAAAGTGACATTTAAGAGGGAAAAAAGTTTTTTAGTTCTCAAATGTCACTTTGCTGCAACGAAATTTCGTCCAAAAAACAAAAGTTCATCCAAAAAAAACCGAATCGGAAATTCAGAATCAGAAATTCGGATTCGTTTGCATTCGTTATATCTGTAATTCAGAATTCGGATACATCAGAATCTCCGAATTTCCGAAATTTCGTCCGAATTTCGATTCGGAAAGAAACGAATCGCACATGTCTATTGAACAATAGAATTGACAGTGCAGCTTTCTGTTTGATGTAGCAGTCCATCTTTAACACAGCTTTTTTCATACTGTACCATGAAGTGGGACCCGGCTCCAAAAAGTAGATACAGAGTTTGAAAGCTATCAGGTCTGGGCTTCATGCTGACAAATAGACCACAATCTTTTTTTCTGGGCTGCTTTCATCTCTGTCTCATGACGTAGCAAAATCTCAGTAGAGAGGTCCCTTTCGTTAAACGTACAAAGTGCAAGACTGAAAAGAAAAACAATCACTTTAAATTCCAAGCACTTAGCAAACTGGCTGAGTAAACTGATAACTGGAGGTGGATCAAGGTCATTCATTTAAGACACAAAGTTGGGAAAATACTTAAGCACAATATTAAAGCCCAATCCTGTGCGCACGAGGAAAAGGGACCATGCAACATTTTAAAGTGTATCTAAAGCCAAAGTCAAAGGTTCAATATATTGCAGCTCACCAAACCTTAAAGGAGAACTATGAGGCGAGTGAAAATCACTCAGCCTCATAGTTCGAGCCGACGTGTGACAATGAAACTGTCACATGTCGGCTCAATAGATCGGGAAGTGAGTGAACACATACTGTCGCTCGCTCACTTCTCGATCCTGTGCCTGCAGAGACCCGTGACTGTCACTCACGGCTCCCTGCAGGCATTCCCTCCTCCCCTGTCCGATCCTTCAGCGCTGACTGGCGGAACGGGCAGGGGAGGGGTGCGGGTGCAGCTGGCTCTGCCTCCAGATAGGCAGAGCCAGCTGTCACTCACGCAGCTAGGTGGATCCAGACAGTATTGTCGGGATCCGTCCGGGCTGTGGCGTCTCAGTATACCGCGAGCTGTAGCTCGCAGTATACTGAGCTTTGGGTGACGGGAGGACGCTAGTTTGTGTCCTCCCGTTACCCTTAGGAGAACTATGGAGAAAAGCACTAATCCCATAGTTCCCCTTTAAGTGTGGCTGCATTAGTTCTCTTTTTTTTCAGCCTAAGAATATTTTCAGCAGGTACAGAAAATACCTGTTGATCTTGCCGGAAATGCAATGTCCTTGTCACTTTTTGTGAGCTGAAACAAAGGCACAAACATCCTTATATTTGTGTAAACTACTAGTACAATCAATCCACTCTATAATGAACAAAGGCAGGCATGTTTGAAGTCCATCCTGCCTTGGCTTTCTCCATAGAAACAGTGGAGACATTAGTATAGCCATGAAGGGACAGGAAGTGTCTTATTAGCAGGTACAGCAGTTGAAAATAAAGGGAAAAAGCCTAAAAAAAAGAAAACTAATGCAGCCACCTTATCTAATTACTGGTAAGCTGCAATATATTACATTTAGGTATGCAGGTTTAGATATGCTTTAACCCCCCTTCCTTTTTATAGGGGAAGCTGACTAATACCTACAACCTTTATGGAGAGCAGAATATAATGACAGACAGTTACAAAAAGATGTGCATGCATATAAAAAGTTTATCACACATATTAAACTTGATCAATAGACAAAAAGCAAACTAAATGGTAAAAAATACTGTGATAAAAGTTATGTATGCTTCATTTGGATGAAGGGGCCATCACATGACGATATAAGTAATAGAGTTGACAGTTTCAGGAGATATCCTTACTTGCTAGTCTATCCAATCTTTACTGTCTAAAAAATCACACACTTTACTACGTTCAGGAATCTCTATTACATTTGGTATGCTACTCATATCATTGTAGCATAGACTGAGCTTCAGTTGTAGTTTTTGCATTTTATTATAGTACCAGGTCAGCACTCTTTGTTAAAGGACCATATTACTATATTTTAAACCCCAGCAGGCCTGTCTTTTTCAAACTACACCCCTAAACACTATGATAGTTAGGCCATGCCCCCAGTTTGTCAAGGTGCATTATACACATACTGTATATTAGACCCTCCATGCCTCAGAATGTCAGGCTTGTAAGGTCACAAACATTTTTCTCCCTTAAGAGCATACTCTGAGCCATGGTGGGACTGGAAGTGGCTTGTCACTGCCCTTTTACTACAATGCCACCCATAGTAACTAATGCACAGATTGGGAGCAAGATTTAGTGTCTAGTATATTAAGGTGACACTAAACTCAGGAGTTAAATCTTAAAAATGCATTCAACATAACAAAAATTTATCTTATTTGTGTATCATTCGGCTGTAGATCCTCAAATCATCTCTGAATTGGTGCTGGCACTGTTCTTCCTTCTAGACTCTAGAATCTAGAGGGTGGCTACTTTTGTTCCCCATGGTGCCTATGTGTGTTGTAAAGTAAGCACTGCACCAAGCTTGCTGCTGTGATAGACTACAATCTCACGTTTAGTTAGTTAATTTGTATCGAAAATTATATTCTTTCACGGGAGCGAGCTTGGAGCAGTGACTACTTTACAACACACACAGGGACTATGGAGAACAAAACTAGTCACCCTCCAGAAGGAAGGACAGTGTCAGCACCAATTCAGAGATGATTTGAGGATCTCATCTGAGTGATAAACAAATGAGCTACATTTTTGTTAATAGTTAGGGTAGTTGAATGTATTTTTAAGATGTGTCACTTTACGAATGCTGGCTGCGTGGCACTAAAGTAAAAGGTTTTTTATAGGGGTAAGGGTTGTTACAGATGAATAAAATGCCTAGTATTTTACTTTCATATTGTTTAAAAATACGATTGTGCACTGTTTACCCACTTTGCCTATGCCTTCTTGATTTCTATCAAAGATTTCATATGAAGATGTAGACCGCTTGAAAGATCTCGCCGTTCTGCACAATGCAAGGATTCCACAGTTCCTCCAAGACAGAAGTCGATATATGGAGTATTTGGGGAAGATTATGGAGGTGAATGAGTTGACAGATGAAGAGCTGAAAATGCTTATTCCTTGAGAAGCTCAATGTTCCATTACCCTTGCAGCTAGACTGCTGAAAAGCACACAGTGCAATAATTTTACAGAACAATATTAAAACACACACAATAAGTTATGAGCTTGCCATGTTTTACTTCTTTCCTTTTTTCTATCCTTTATATAGATGTCTCTATTGTTTATTAAAATAAGATTTATAACTTTTACAAATGTTAATATTGCACTTTCCAGTGTTATTAAATAAACAAATAAATGTACACTTTAGAGGTTGGACACTTCTGGTCTGTAATAATTTATATTCTGTATTTTACAATACAGAAAAATGATCACTTGCACTAATGCACTGGACACGAGTATATAATTTAGTACCCAGCCATGCAGTCTTTAAAACAAACATTAACAGCATTATAGGTTATACTAAAAAGCGCGGAAGTTAGCTACTTGAAGCAATCATAGAACGTGAGTTTTCTGACCTGCTACAAATCTGTCAGTGGTTTGCTGGCCTATGCAGATCCCAATCTTATTGCAGTTAAACATCTGTCAAATAAACTGGAATGCTGACTACCAGCCAGCCCTGAAACAACCAAAAAAAAAACATGTTATGGATGAATGAAAGCAAAATCCAAATTTTTTTCAGTATATATTAGAAACCCTTTGCAGACCAATCAGACTCATTCTTCCCAGCTGGACCTGGTGTAAGGCCTTGTATGCAAACACCCTGGTCCAAGTACCGTATTTTGCGTTCCATAAGATGCACCGGACCATAGGACGCAGGGAGGTCCGGTGCGCCTTATGGAGCACTCGACAGACCGTAGCTTCTATCACAGCTTCTGTGACAGAAGCTGTGACAGAAGCTGCAGTTAGTGACCGCTGAGACAGGTGGCGCCACGATTACAGCGCTACGTGTCAGTGATCACACAGAGCAGACGAAGAACATTCGTTCTTCGTCTGCTCTATGGTGATCTCGATCACCGCCGCCGCTCGGTTTTAATACAAGTGATCTAATCATATCACTTGTATTAAAGGAGCAGTGGCTCCTACTGTACATTTAGCTCTGCTTCAGCAGAGCTAAATGTACAAACAACTACTCGCCCGGCGCCCGAAACTGCATGTCGCTCCATAAGATGCAGGCACATTTTCCCCCTCCTTTTTGGGGGAAAAAAGTGTGTCTTATGGAGCGGAAAATACGGTATATAGTGGCGATGTGTTTCACCTTTAGCAGCCACCTTTCCCTTAAGGTAACTGCACATACTGGTACTTGGATGCCTCCAGGACTCAAACTCTGGTCGTGGGCATCACTACAGGCCCACAGAGAAAACTAATTGTAGGGCAGTAGAAGGTGCGAACTGAACTTTTAGAAGGAAGAATCCAGGAAATGCAACTGGGGGTCAGGGCAGGCAGCAGACAAGAAAAGTAGGCAAGGGTCAAGACGGGCCTGCACTCAGGCCCAGGACAGCAGGGCTGGCTGTACCCCCGTATCGGTGACCCTGGCTAAAAAGCTGGCACCAGTAACTCTGTTAGTCTTTAAATCAATCCCCGTTGAGCCCCCTTGAATCCTAGGCCTAGGCTGTACATGGGGCTTCAACTTCTAATCCAGGGATTCGGCTTTAATGGGTTCCTGCTCCTATCCTTTAGTTTTTAAATGCCAGATAAGCGGAAGCAGATCTTAGAGTCAGGATAGGATGGGGGCTTAATCTTGACTTAGACAGAAGTCAAGGCATTGTGTTAGGATACCATCTACTGCAAGTGCTAGCAAGACCACTTATGTGGAGCTGCACAGAGAAAACCGGGCTCATAATCAAGTGAAGCAACACAATTTATTAAGAACACCACACATAAGTGACATAAAACACAAATACAGCAATCAATACAGAACCCAGTAAACACAATACAAAGTGAAACTAACTATATACAGAGAAGAAAAATAAAGCAGGTAAAGCAGGGATAAGCGGAAGTACAAGCAATGGGGAGCAAGACAGGTCAGAAACAGGGGCCAGAAGAAGTAGCCGGTCAGAAATGGGGGCCGGAATGGATAGCAGGTACAAAGGCAATATGGTGCATGCCCTGCTCATCTCTACTGAAACTCAGCTATGTTGAGAGCTGCTTGGGCTGCCTGACATGATGCTTGGAGTAGCTCGGCCCCTGCACACATAGTTCAGCCCAGAATGCCACTCCTCGTAAAACCACCCCCCACGCTTTGCCATCTGTAGGAGCAGAGACATGGGGAGGGTACAGGCAGGAAAGCCAGCCATGCAGATTGTCTGGATAGAAAGGTAAGTGACTGCATAACTGAGTTATGCATGAGTGTGTGCGTTTGTATGCGAGAGTGTGAGTATGTAGGTGTGTGTGTGTGTAATGTTTGTATGTAAAAAAAAAAAATCGCACTGTATCCAATATTCTCCACAATGTAGGCACGGTCCATGATCCCCGGGATGAGCATAGTGTACCACATCAATTCCTATTTTCTCCAGGTGTCATTTTCCCAAGTTCTGATGTTGGGAGGTATTCAGTCTTTCTCATTTCTTTTCTCCCTGTTTGACTGTTTAACTGTAAGGCAAGGCAGATTACTTGGTGTAGTTATTGTTAACATTTTTATTTTTATTAGAGTTGCACCGAAACGAAAATTTCAAAAACGGAACGAAACCGAAATTTAAAAAAAATGTCAGGCCGAAACAGAAAATGTTTTTTCTCTAACTTTTCCAAATTTTAAAAAAATATTTTATTTTCATTTATTTTTTATAAACGTTTTCATTTTTTATATTTTATTTCTATTTATTTATTTTTATTAAATATTTTAATTTTTTACTTCACTTTTAGGGGCTTCGGGGAAATATTAGGGGTCTAAACAGACCCCTGATATTTCTCTTTTACAATAGAAAAAGAGATTGAGGACTCTGTGTCCTCAATCTCTTTTTCTGCAGCCCCTGTTATAAACGATCAGGAATCCTCTATACTGAGTGTTCCTGTTCATTCATAACTTGTGGAGATAGTATGTTTACCATGTACACAATCATGAATGAACAGGACGTGATGTATATCACTTCCCATTCATTCATAATTGAGGACACAGTAAACATACTCTGTTCTCAATTATTTACAAACACTCAGCAATCACTGATCGCTGAATGTTTGTACCCACTCTCCATCCTGGATCGGATGTTACAGGAGGCTGAGCGAGCATTGAGAGCTGTCTCCGCCCACACAACGCTCTCCTGATCTGTCACAGGAGGCTGAGCGCTGCAGGGAGGAGAGACGCCGGCCGCTCGCAGCGCTCTCCTCCCGCACTGCTCGACCTTCTGTAACAGTTTCTCTCCTCCCTGCTGGGACACAGAGCAGCGCCTAGTGGACAGGAGAGAAAGCACGGATCTACTGCTATTTTGGGCATACATTTCGGCGGCCGAAATATCGGTGCATCCCTAATTTTTATTGTTTGCTAAAACACAGTTTTGGCTAAATTTTAGTCTCTCGCTACCTAAGTTATGCATGTACAAACTAATTGATCTCAGGACTGACTTATTACCCTAGGTTGTCAGTTTAATCATTGCTGGTCTCTGGTCAGTTGATTAAAACTAAATTAACACATATTTAGTGAAGCGGTTTGTCTGGGGTTAACAGCCTGCATGGCCATAGTGTTGGCTGGTAGGGGCTCCATTTTACACTTCTCCTTAGGGAGCAGCAAGAATAGGAATGCTCCTGATTGCTAGCAATAATTTTGGCTAGGACGAGGTCACCAGAAAACCCTAGGATTTGAAATGAGACCTTGACAGGCAGGTGTCCTAATACTTTTGACAAAATTATAGAGGTTAAAGCAGTTTGCCATAATAGTTATAAGCATATACTGTGCTAAATATCAGACATGTTTTCATTTTTAAAGTAAAGAGAAAAAATACATTAAACTTAAAATTATTATTGCAGTTTTTTGATGTATTAAAATGTAAAATCAACACCATGTCTTCTTTATGCCGGTTCCGTATGTTTCTAAGTTGCATGCCATCAAAATAAACTTCTGGAATCATATCATTCCTCTTGCACCATTCTGCTGTACCTTAGGTATTTAGCACACTTAAACTCAGGAGTTAAATCTTAAAAATACATTCAAGTACCCTAACTATTAACAAAAATGTAGCCTATCCGTGCATCACTCAGCTGTAGATGCTCAAATCATCTCTGAATTGGTGCTGACACTGTCCGCCCTTCTGGAGAGTGGCTACTTTTGTTCCCCATAGTCCATGTGTGTGTGGTATAAAGTAGCCACAACCCCAAGCTCACTCCTGTGACGGATTACAAATTCACTACAAATTAGTAAACGAAACATGTGATTCCATAATGGGAGCAAGCTTGGAAAGATGACTACTTTTCAACGCACACAGGGACCATGGAGAACAAAAGTAGCCACACTCCAGAAGGAAGGACAGTGTCCGCACCAATTCAGAGATGATTTGATACATTTTTAAGATTTAACTCCTGAGTTTAGTGTCACTTTAAGTCTTATGGTGCAATGTAGAGAAACTGTTGAATCTTAAACACAATTCATCTACTTAACGTACTAACATGATATGTAAAAAAGAAGAAAAAAGTAGGTTTAAATAATTCTCAATGGCAGCCCACAATGAGAAAATGCTCTGCTTCTAAATGCCTGTCTTCACTTACAGTAAGTGATAAAGAACACAGCATACCTCCCAACTTTCTGTGGTGAGAAAGGGGGACACCTTCCAGCATAATGCATCTAGACAATGGACACACACTGCCACACCCTCAGTTATGCAATTAAGAATGCATATGATTGGTAAACCCCAGAATTGTTTTTACTTTTCCCTTATATTGGCTTTTTAAAATAGCAAATTAGATTAAAAAAAAGGACACAAGATGAAGGCTTTAGTGCAGAATAACACTTTTGGCAGTTACAAAGAACATTTTCATAAATACCAGTACTTCAGACCAAAAAGAGGGATAACTGAGGAGGAAAGAGGGACAGAGGGATTTTAGTCCAAATGAGGGACAGTTGTAAGGTTCGTTACAATAGTGTAATTATTAGT